TTTATTTTGATACCATTGCTTTCCTTTTGTTTCCATATCCTTTCAGTTGGATAGTGATATCTACTTATTTATCCACCTGTTTTTCCACATTTAGCTTTGTTTCTAAAATGATGGGATTCATAAGGCCTCAGTGAATTCTATGTGATTGAATAAGACATTCAAGTCAACCTATTTGCATCACTCCAGGAAGCCTCACTTGACCTTCTCATTCGGATGCCCTCATATTCCTGAAATGTTCATATTCAACACCTCTGAGATAGAAATCTCTACATTCTTATTGATCGGCTTCCCAGGGTTGGAGTCTTTCCACATTTGGATTGCCATTCCAATATGCCTCATGTACCTGGTTGCCATCCTGGGAAATTGCATCATTCTGTTTTTCATAAAGATGGAGCCTTCTCTTCATGAACCTATGTATTATTTTCTCTCCATGTTGGCAATTTCTGACCTTGGACTTTCTCTCTCCTCTCTTCCTACCATGCTTAGAATTTTCTTGTTTAATGCCCCAGGAATTTCCCCTGATGCCTGTATTGCCCAAGAATTCTTCATTCATGGCTTCTCTGCTATGGAGTCATCGGTACTTCTCATCATGTCCTTTGACCGCTTTATTGCCATCTACAATCCTTTGAGATACACCACCATCCTGACCAGCACCAGAGTCACCAAAATTGGGTTTGCGTTCTCTCTCAAAAATGTCTTGTTAATCCTCCCTTTCCCTTTCACTCTAAAACACCTGAGATACTGTAACAAGAATCTCCTGTCCCATTCTTACTGCCTCCATCAAGACGTCATGAAGCTGGCCTGCTCTGACAATAAGATCAATGTCATTTATGGTTTATTTGTTGCTTTTACAGGAATTATCGATTTGATGTTTATTTTCATGTCCTACCTGCTTATTCTAAAAACAGTGCTGACCATTGCCTCCCAGCAGGAAAGACTCAAGGTCCTAAATACTTGTGTTTCCCACATCTGTGCCGTGCTCATTTTCTATGTGCCCATTCTTTCGCTCGCTGTTATCTATCGGTTTGCCAAACACAGTTCCCCAATCATTAGGATACTTATGGCTGACATTTTTCTCCTGGTGCCCCCATTGATGAACCCCATTGTATATTGTGTGAAGAGCCAGCAGATAAGAAATTTGGTCTTAGGGAAACTGTGTCAAAAGCAAAGTTGACAGAGGTATGAAACTGCAATCAAAACCCAGTGAGTACGTGACAGCAAGGCAAGGAGAAAATAGAGTCATAAGGAACTACATCGTCTACAAAATACTTTCCAGTCCTGTCTCAGTGTGTTTATTCAAGTTGTTATTTTAGGAATTCGAACTGAGGTAAACATAAAGTATATTCCTAACTTTTCCCAGTTTTTAATTTACTAACCCCAGGAGCACAAGATATGTGTACCATTTCCAACATGTTCAAAATATATTTTATGTGTTCATTTGAGAATTAACAATCAAAACTTGTTTGCCAACCAAGAGAGCATAATGATGATCAAAGATAACTAAAGTTTTGTTTCTTCAGTTGAAATATTCATCTTCAATACCAAGTTTTGACTTACAGGAAATATCCTTCTACACTAAAAAACTAAAAATGCAATGAGGAAAGTCATTGTATTCTGATATATATATATCAGAAAGACCATGTAAATATAAAATTGAACATATAATTTAATAATTTGATTCAATGTTTCATTCTAGAGGATTACAATATAACCTACTAAATTATGTAGGGCAAGGAAGCTTCCTATTCTTTCCACAGTATAGTAAGGAAGTAAATTTAAATTCCATCAGATACAATTTATTTGTGTGTCTACTGAGAAGAATTATGTGTATCTTACTCCTATTATAGTATTAATTTACAGTAATAAAGTAGCTCGAAGGCAAGGAAATGCAAAACAAGTCCCCATACAAACACAATCAGATAAGCTACAAGGATATGCTCTTCCCAAAACACAGCTGTTCATGGAGATACTACCCTAGTTCCAGCTGACTTACTTGTAATAAAAAATAATTTAAAATAGAGAGTGAAAAAGGAACTAAAAAGAGAAAGATCCTCTATGGGATGGCTTGACGGCACGGCTAGAGCACTGGTTTAAAGCTGACAATGATGAATAGAAGCAGCATTAGGCAGTGTTTTTCCACTGTGCATAGTTTCGCTCGGGGTTCCAATGAACTGAATGGCACATTAGGGTTTCATTCTCCTTGTATTAGTGGCAGCATTTGGAGCAGAACTGTTTTAATTTTGATAAAGTCAAACATGAATTTCATTAGTGAACTATATTGCCTTGCTTAAATGCTGATGATAGCATGGCCAATTCAAGGTCATACAGATTTTCTAACATTTAACAGTTTTAAATCTTATATTTAGGTGTAATACATTATAAATTAAATTTCATATTGTATACAAGTAATTTTTATATAAGGTGTAAGTTAGGGTCCAACTTTATTTTTTCCCATGTGAATGGATAATTATCTCACTACCAAATTTTAAATGAGAATGCAGTTCTTTGCAGATTGCTATTCTCTTACCATTAGGGGCTTACAGAATAGCACACAATTTGTAAATGTACAAAGTTTCATTAGCCTAAATAAATATATTAAAGGATAAAGTCTTCTAAACATGCTGTGTCCATCCTACATGCTGCCGAAAGGGAAGCATTTTGAGCAGTTATATTTGTCTGTTGCTAATGGAGATTAACATATTTTCATGTCTCTCTAGGCATTCTATCTACATTAGTAATGGCATATAAAATTTTTGTTGTATTTCTAGGTATTTTGGTAGGAGAATATCTGAAATTCCGATTTTTCCGCCAACAAAATGACAAAAGTATATACATTTTTCACCTTGCAGGAAGCTTCTTTGAGCCTTGCATCCTCATAATCCTATCATGTCAATATCCAATATCTCTGAGATAGAAATAACTACTTTATTCCTGATTGGAATCTCAGAAATGAAACATACACACATCTGCCTTTCAAGCTCCATTTGCTTCATTGACCCCTTTAGCATCCTGGGGACCTATATCATCTTCCTTTTCTTAAAAATAGAGGCTTCTTTGAACCTGTGTACCAGTTCCTCGCCATTTGGGACTGTCTACCCAGGATTGTCCATTTCCTCTCTCCCAGTTATGCTGAGAATCTTAAAACAAAAACAAATACATATTTGGAACTTTCTCACGTATTACAAAAGCACTGAAGTCCGTTTTAATGTTCATTTTCCTTCTTTTGTAACCACTTAGACCAGTGTTCAGATCTGATGGGGAAGGACACTGGTGAATTTTCAAGGCAGTGACCTTTCCCCCGTTCGCCCCAGGCCCTTTTATTCATGGAGTCTAACACACAGAGAAAGGCAAAGCACGGTCTCATAGCCAAGTCATCAGAACAGTGACAGCATCCCAGTGGGCTCTCCCCACTACCAAGTATGTGGCCCTACCTCTGTCCCCCACTGTCTTCACTCTTTCCCTCCATACCCCTTACCCCCTATCTCCTTTGCCCCACTCCCCTACTGTGGCAGCTAAATTTTATGTCAATTTGCACTTGCATAGGGGGAGTCCAACCTGTCAATCAGGTCATAGCCTGATGATGCCTTCTTGGAAGTGTGGCTGTTTTATAAGAGAGGTGCTGGGAAACCTTGCTTTCTCTATGTCCCTTTACCTTCCTGCTTGCTGGGACTCTATGCCTGTGTCTAAGGACAGACCCATGCGGGCTTGCCAACTCTGAGTGCTGTCAGTGCCCCTCTGGGGATTCACAGGACTCTGCACTCACTGGCCTGTGGTCTTCCTGCATCTTGCTTCACCTTTCTGCATCATTGGCCAGCAGTTGCATAAGTCTGAAGAGGGGTCTGGCTAATATTGAACCCATGAACTTAAATAGGACCAGAGTTCTTGATATAAGAATCCTTCTTGATATAAAGCTCTTTCTTATACATGCATGAGTGACACTGATGTTGTTTCTCTAGAAAACCCAGGCTAACACATCCACCTTCCCCATTCCTCCCTATACCAGCAGCTGAGTCTCTTCTTGCTTAATGCAAGAGAGAGTTCCTCAAATGATGCTTCACTCTAGTTTTCTATTCATAGATTCTCATTCATGGAGTCATAAGTACTTCTCAACATGTCTGTTGATTGCTTTATAACCATCTACAGGCTTTAAAGATATATTTCTATTTTTAAAATCATTTTATTGGGGGCTTGTACAAC